CCTTGCCCTTCCCCGCCGCCGAAGCCCGCGCGCCCTTGCCCTTCTTGCCGTTCTTCTTGCCGCCCACGACGCCCAGGAACCTGGGCAAACATGGGCGCGGGAACGGCAGCAGCGGGGCGGGGGGCGGGGCTTCTGGAGTCGAAGCGCACCAGTCGTCCGAGCCGCGCCCCGCCGTGGCGACGAGGGGGGGGGAGCGCCCTCATGCCAGACGGCAGTGGGCCCCGACCTTCGGAGACGAGCGAGGCGCCATCCAAGTTGCCCTGAGGCCCCCGACGCGGCCGGATGACGGCACCCACCCCCTCCCTCCCCCTCCCGCCCGACCGACCCTCCGCCGCCCGCCCTCCACGACCCCTCCTCCACGATCCTTGATATATATGTATATATACAAATATATATATATTAGATATTTTCAAAAACCTACTTCTAATACCGATAAGGAGTCTTCGGTTATGATTCAATAATAATACATAATATATATCAAATAAATACAATACACCAAATATTATATTAATACATTAAATAAATAATGTAAGCCGATAATAAATAACGATATGCATAAATAATGATATCCACCGCACCAAATAACAATCAACAGCAACCTCGCCCCAGGAGCCCTCTCGAGCGTTCCCGCCGACCCGCCGCGCGCCCGGGCCAGGCCACAGGCAGGGGCGATGGGGCAGGGGCAGGAGGGGAAGGGAGCAGAACGGGAAAGCGGAGGGAAGGGAAGGGGAGAGAAGGGAGGGGAAGGATAAGGAGGGAGGGGGGGGAAGGGGGAGGAGGAGGAAAGAGAGGGAAAGGGAGGGGGAAGGAAGGGGGGGAATGGCACTCCCCTCGCTGCGGCGCTCTTTCCGAGGCGCTCAGCCCCTCGCCGCCTCCCAGGGCTCTCGGCCCCATGCCTCCGGGGTCACCGTCGTCGTCGTCGTCGTCGTCGTCGTCTTCGTCGTCGTCGGTCGCCGTCGTCGCCGTCGTCGTCCGTCGTCGCCGTCGTCGTCCGCTGTCCGTCTTCCGTCGCCGTCGTCAGCGCCCCCTCTCTCACGCCGCAGCCGTGGACACGTTCAGGCTCCGCCTCGCGCGGGGGTGCCACGGCGCGGCCGCGAGCGAGGCGCAGGCGAGCTGCCCCACCGCGGGGCCGGGGAAGGCGTTGCCCGCGAGGTCCGCCCACAGGTGGTCGTCCACGAGCGGCATCTCCTCTGTTTTTGGTTCGGGGAAGGGGGGGGGGGTCAGGAGGAGGAAGAGGGGGGGAGTCTCCTCCATCTTGTCCCTCGGGAACCCCTGGAACAGCATCATCTCTTTGGCCAGGAGCAAGCGGGGGGGCAGGGTCGTGCCGATCCAGAACTTCGTGCCTCTCGGAGCGGAGACGGTAGAGGAGACGGAAGAGACGAGAAAAAGGGAAGGGCACGCAAAGGGCGAGAGGAGGAGAGATGAGAAGGGGAGGAAGGGCGGGGGGGAGGGTGGAGAGGGGAGGGAGGGAGGGAGGGAGGAGGGAGGCAGAGGAGGGAGGTGGGAGAGAGAAGAGAGGAGGGAGGGAGGGAGGGAGGAAGGGAGGGAGGAGGGAGTAGAGAGGAGGGAGACAGGAGGGAGAGAAGAGGAAGGAGAGAGGAGTGAGGGAGGGAAGGACTAGGGAGGCCTCCTCCTCTTCCCCCTCCCTCCCCTCTTCTCCCTCCTTCTCATCCTCGTCCTTTCCCCCGACTCCCACTCCCGGCCTATATCTCTTATCATCTGCCTGCTGCTGCCCTCTCCCCACTCCCCCTCTCCGCCTCATCTTCCTCTTGGTCCTTGCCCTAGCCTGGCAGCAGCGTCGGAGTCGCGAGAGCCCGACCCTCGCCCCCCATCTCGCGGGAGGCGCGATCGATGGACTGGCCGACGTCGACGGAGACCTCCTTGTGCGTGATGCGCTGGTGGCAGGCCAACACCTGCTTTCGGGGGGTGGGCCGAGAGAAGAGGAGGGAGTTGGGGGCAGCGGAGGAAGGACTAGGGAGGAGAGAGGACGGGAGGAGAGAGGAGGGAGGGAGGGAGACAGGGAGGGAGAAGAGATGGAGAGAGGGTGGAGGGAGGAGAGAGGAGGGAGGGAGGGGAGTGGACAGAGGAGGGAGGGAGGGAGAAGAGGACTAGGGAGGCCTCCTCAGATTCCCCATCCCACTCCCCCTCCTCCTCCTCCTCCTCCTCCTCCTCCTCCTTTCCCCCGGCCATTCGCCATCTACCCCTTCGTAGCCCCGGCGAGCACCTCCACCTCGCGTTTGGTCAAGCCCCCGATCCACTCGGAGTCGCAGGCTGGCGGCATCGGGCCGAACGCGCCCCAGCGGAGACCTGGCGGGCCACCCCTCCGAGAGCAGAGGGGGCGATGGGCGGGCGAGTGGGGGGGGCGCCCAGAACCCTGCCCTCCGAGCGTAACCGGAGGCATCTGCAGGGAATTGGGTTTGCGGTATTTGGTTGCATATGTTGTGAGCCCCAAGGGGCCGTGGTTCTGGCAGAAAAGGCGGTGCTTCTTGGGCCACTCCTCCCTGGTCGGCTCCTCGTTCGGGGGTTTAGTCTTGGCCTTCATGAGAGCATCCGTGACCCAGGGGTGGGCCGCAGAGAAGAGGCAGTCGCGGAAGTCCGGGGCGTTCACCCGCTCCGCCACCAAGAACTCACCAACCTTGTCCAGCGCACTGTTGAGTTTCGCCTGCAAGTCTGCCTCAGGCAGGATCGGTGCGGAGACAGCTCTAAGCGGGGGTCCTCCACCTCCTCCTCCTCCTAATCCTTCCACCCCGCTCCTCCTCCTCTTCCTCCTCCTCCTTCTCCTACTCATTTTCCTCTCACTCCCGAGCCTCCCGCGACACCTCCCATCTTCCCTCCCTCCCTCAGGCCACCCTCCCAACTCCCTGTTACACCGCTTCCCGTTGTTCGTCGGCGCTTGAACGACCCCCCTGCCTTGGGCGCATCCAGCCACGAATCGGAGGTCAGTTTGTAGCCGACGAAGAAGTACCGCAGTCGTGCTTGAGGCAAGCCCACGTCCCTCGCGTCGAGCTTGTAAACGCGGGCGACATACCCCGCCTCTCGTGCACGGGAGGGGGCATGCTGGGGGATGGTGGAGAGAGAATGGAGAGTGAAACGACGGTGGAGGCGGGGGATGGGGGATGAGGAGGAGAAGGGATGGAAGGATGGGGGGGAGGGAGAGGACGGGGAAGGGGAGGCGGGGCAAGGGGATGACAAGGGGAAGGAGGGAGAGGAGGAGGCGGAGAAGGAGGAGGGACAGGGCGAGGGAAGTGCCTCTGTCAAGTAGGCAAGCGCGACCTCCAGATTCGAGGCAGTCTCGGCGTCGGCGGGCGTGTCGTCGAGGCCGTCCACGTTCTCCAAAAGGAGAATGTCATACGAGTGCTTAGTGATCGCCCTGATCACTGCATAAAACGTCGTCGAAGTCGAGGTCGCAGGGCCTCCGGCCGACAGCGTTGTCGTCGAGCGCTGCTGGTTAGTCCTGCTGACGCCTTTGCAACTGAAGCCGCAAACGAAGATCGTCCCTGATTTCACTTCGCACTGCCTCCTGTGCCGAACGCACTTGGCCGTCTTCCCGTGCAGCTGCTCGAGGTCCTCAAAGATGCAACAAGTCGGCGTGCGCGTGGTAGCCTCTGGCGGTCGCGCGCGAGCTACCCAGCTGGCCCCCAGGAGCCGCAGAGACAGGGGGGAGGGATGGGGAGGCATGGGGGCAAGGGGAGGAGCGAAGAGGGAAGAGGAGGAGAAGGCGGCAGAATGCAGCGGGTGACAGGGGAGCGAGGTGGATGGCGAAACAGAAAAGGAACAGGAAGATGAGGAGGAGGAGGAGGAGTTTGTCCACACGCGGTAGCCTCCAACAAGTACTTGCGTTTCTTCTCCGACAGCTCACACATGCATGAGTGAGCGACCATCGTGCGGTACCCGTGCCTTGTAAGCGCGCGCTGGAATTCCTCGGCCACGAAGAAGTCCATCCCTGATCCCGTGCAGGCCGAACTCCATGAGATCTCGTCCGGCAGGCAACTGAACTCCAGCTTCTGGAACGAGCGTTCGATCACGATCGGGGTCACCCTGCCCATCGTGACGTCGACGGCCTTGACAGCCGCTCGGGGCATCTCAGTCTGGGGGTCCGAGCCCGCCTTGGCGATGGCGGCGAGCGTGCGCTTCGGCCTCTTGACTCCTGGGAACATCAGCCGCGTGCGCCCTGGCCCCGGAGAGGCAACTCAACCAGAACACCAAAATGAAAATGCCTGGTTGGCCTCGAGCCCGCGCTGCTCCTTCCTCGATGGGCCCCGCGACGAGGGGCATCGGGGCGCAGGAGGGAGGGCGCGAGGAAGAGGAGGCGAGAGAGGGGAGGAAGGGACACGCGGAAAGGGCGGGAGGAGCAGGAGGAAAAGGGGGAGGAAGAGAAGGGCAGGTAGGAGTAGGAGTGGGACGGGGAGGAGGAGGAGGAGGAGGAGGAGGAGGAGGGGGAGGAGGAGGAGGAGGATATGTTTCTTTCCATTTACTTTTCCTCGTCGGTATTGCATGGCAGTCGAGCGCGCCTTGCAGCCTCGGCTCAGCCCCGCCAAAACAGCGCGCTGCCCGACTCCCATGAAAGCGCACTTCGCAGAGGAGACCCCTGGGAAGCCCCTCTGACCTGTTCCAGTCTAGCCACCTATGACCCATCTTAGATAGATAATCCAGCTAGTAGGCTCCACTATCCCCAGAAGTGCTTCCCAGGGGAGGCCGCGCTCTGTTCCGCGGGGCCTCGCGCCAGCCTCGTTGGCAAAGCGGTGCTTTAGCGTGCAGCACCCCCATCGGCAGGAGGGCTCATGTTGGCACGAGCACCTCAAAGCATGAGAAAATGAACGCCCGCAGAGTGCAAGCCCCCGAGCGAGGTGGTCGGAGGTCGTCGGAGGGAGGCAGTTGCTTTCCGAAGGAGAGGGCGTGCTCGAGGATGCTTGCACTCCGCGCCCTGGGGCCTTGCCGCACTAGGGGTGCGCTCGAGGCTCTTGCTACTCGTGCTCCGCACTCGAAGGAGCCTGCGGCTTCTAGATAGCCTGGGACAAGGGGGCATCGTCGTCATCCAGGGCCGCGCCGCCCCCCTGGACACCCGCGGCTGCTGCGCCCTCGTCCCCTGACTCCCCCACCTCCTGGGCCTCGTCCAACAATGGGGCATCGCCCTCGTGCTCGCTCTTCGCCGCCCCGGCCGCTGACCCCGTCGTTCCTGCCTCCGCGCTCGGATCCGACTTGGCCACGCTGTGCTTCCCCCCAGCGGCGCCCTGCTTGCCCTGCTTCGCCTGCCCATTCTTCTCCTTAGCACCCAGGCGCTTGTCCTTCGAGTTCCTCTTGATGATCGGGTCGAAGATGTTCGCGGCCTCGCAGGCTGGGCCGGGGGCGGGGACGAGGGGGAGCGGGCTTGCAGGAGGCGATGGGGGGGGGAGTATCAGGCCGAGCGGAGAAGATGAGAAGACGAGGACGTGGATAAGGGGAGATCAGCCGAGAGGACGAAGACGTGGACAGGGGGAGATGAGAAGATGAGGAGGTGGGAAGGCCTCCTTGAGCAACTTCTCATCCAGGGCCACCGACCTGCTGGCGGCGTGCTCCAGGACTTTCTCGTAGTCGCCAGCCATGTTCTTCCGGGACATGACGGGCGCAGTGATGATGCCGAGCAGCGCGTACACGCAGCCAATCTTCTCGCAGTCTTCGATTACCTTGTTCACCGCCTCGATCTCCTTCGGGGCATCGCCCGTCGTGTGGATGGTCCCCTCGAGAGATTCTCTGCACTCCATCAGCGCGGCGATGCCCTTGTTGACCTTGGCCGAGTTGCAGGAGCCCGCCTTGCAGCGGACCTGGGCCATCGCTTTGATGAAGTTCACGCGATCGTTGCTCCACGATGGAAGCTGGCTCAAGTCCCTGTTGACCTCCTCGATGCACTTCGTGGCCTTCTTGGCAGCCGCCGCTCGGGCACGATCCCTGCCCGAATTAACCTCAGCCTGGCCCTGGGAGACCAGAGACTTCGTGAGCTCGCCGATCTTTGCCGCATCGAAGCCGCCAGCGGCGTAGGGGGACGCCTCGTCGTGAACCCATTTGAGGTAGTACTTCTCCAGGGAATCCGCCAAGCCCTTGACCCTGTCCTGGGAGGAGGGGGAGAAGGAGGAGAGGGAGGAAGAGGAGGAGGAGGAGGAGGAGGAGAAGGAGGAGGAGGAGGAGGAGGAGGAGGAGGGAGGGGCGGGCGGGAATAACTGAGGAGTGAGGGGGAGCTTGGAGGAGTGGCGAGGACATGGGAGTCGGTCCCGAGATGCCGAACTGTTTGGGGAGGCCTTGCAATTGGCGACGGCCTGGCGGAGCTCCAACAGCGAGTACAGGATCTTATCGTTCCAGCCCTGGTACGCCCCCAACTCCGGATCGCCCTCAAGGTCCATGGGGTCAGGGTGGTTCTCCTCATCCATGCTGAACTCAGTCCTGGGCAAGTTTTTCTCCCACCCGTGGTACGCGGCACTGGCAGACATGCCAACTTCCCTCAAAACGCTGGTCTCAACCTGCGACTCCGGCGCGTCGATGAGAAACTGCTTGGCCTTGGCGGTCAGATCCCGCTGGCACTTCCCAAGGGCCTCGTTGGCGTGGGTGGTGGTGAACTCCTTGGCGAGCTCGACCCATTTGTTCAGGCCCGCCTCTCGCGCCGAGAAAAGCTTCATGCCGTTCTTGAAGCGCCCCATGTCCACCTGCGACATCTTCTCCAGGTCCCAGTCAGTGCCCGGCCCTTGGCACACGTAGGCGAAGTCCTTGGCGAACGGCTTGAAACCGTCAACCGTGTCGCCGAGAGGCACGCTGCGCTGGATGAAAGGCTTCTTGAGCACGTCGCCGAGGATGTCAGTGAGGTTCCAGCTGTCATTGTCAGCCTCGACGTGCCCGGCGACCACGCTATTGAAGAAGTCAGTGATGGCGATGCGGCAGACCGACGTGACCTTAGACGTCAGGAGTCTGCGGATTTCGTCCACAGCTTGCTTCTGAAGTTCGCTGAGCTTGGAAGTGCCTTTCTTCGTTAGGCTGCAGAGCTTCCCGTCGAACTCGACCAACTCCTCTAACTTAGCGACGATATCAGGCTTGCTGCAGCCGTGCGGTGGCAAGACGAACTCGTCCAGCTTCTCCCTGATGAAACCGAGAGTCGCGTCGGCGCCAGTCGCGCCCTTACGAGTAGCCACGCTCAAGGTTGCTCGATCCTTGAGCACCTGCCACTTCTCGGACCACTTGATGTCCAGGAGCACCGGGGACTCGCTCTCCTCGTTGACGTCCGTGATTGCGGCGATGCTGGCGTCGATCTCGTCCTCCTTGAAGTTGCTCGGAAGTAGGATCGGGCGCAACATCTGGAACTGCGGTCTCAAGACGTCGATGCCGACGACGTTGCTCTCGACGATGGCCTTGGAGAACTCGTCCACTGTCGTGATGGCTGGCCCGCCACTGCGAGGATGTGCGAGGGGGATGCAGGCGAGGGGGGCTGGAGGTAGCAGGGGCAGGAGGGCACGCGGGAGCACGAGCAAGGGGGAGATAAGTGACGGGGCAACGGCGAGGGACGGGCCATTCACCCCTCCCCCGAGGCGCGGGCGACCGAGGAGCTCGAGACCGACCCCGAGAACGGCGTCATCTAAAGGCGGGGGCGGGCGGTCTGCTCGGGGCCCCATCGCTGCTATCTTGCCTCTAGAACCCCTCCCCCCACCTTCCGCCACTCGCCCGCCCCTATCCTTGCCTCCCCCCAGCCGCCCACCTTCTCCCTCCCCCCTCCCTCCTCCCTCCTAGTCGCCCTTGCCCGGAGAGAGAAAGAGAGAGAGAGAGAGAGAGAGAGAGAGAGAGAGAGAGAGAGAGAGAGAGAGAGAGAGAGTGAGAGAGAGACAGAGAGAGAGAGAGAGAGAGAGAGAGAGTGAGAGAGAGAGAGATGGGCTAACGTGCCTCCCGATGTCCGCGTGGGTCAGCGCCTTCAGGAGCTTCGACGCGTGGGCCTCCACGAGCTGCAGCACGCGCTCCTCCAACGCCTCTTCCTCGCACTCGCTGTCCAATATGTCCTTGATATGCTCTTTGCCCTTATCGAGCAAGTCCGCGAACTTCACGTGCTGGTTGAACTGGGCGGCCCGATCGAGCCGCGTCGTGAGCAGCGCCATCTTGTACGGGAACGTGATCTTGGACTCGGAGTTGGCCTCGATGGTGTTGATGGCCTGGGTCACGTCGTCGAGATCGCTGCCCTTGAGGCCGTTGATCATGCCAGTGACCAGGGCCTTGCTAGCGGTCAGGACGTCATCGATAACCTTGAGGTCGCAGTCGAGGTCAGTGATGTCAAACGAGCCCTCGAGCTTCTTCAGCTTGCCCTGCACAGTCGTGTGCTTCTTCTCAAGCGCCGCCAGGTCGTTTTTCTTCGCGGTCATAATCTTCTTGAAGGCTTTGGCCTCCTCCTTGATGGCCAAGTTCTGGGTCTCGTGGAAGACGGCCTTCTGGGTGACCTCAGTCGCAAGCGCAGCGATCTCAGCGGCCACCTTCGCGAAGGCCTCGTTCCCGGCACCAGTGGCATCAACCAGCGACTTCGTTGGCGGCCTCCCGCGCCTCTTCTGGGCAGGCGGAAGCGCAGGTGGCGGCTGCGACAGCGTCCTCTTCTGCGGAGGGGGTGCTGGCGAAGGCGCCCCCCCTCCTCCACTGCTGGACCCTGGTGACTTGGTGGCCTTCTTCCCAGTGGAGGGCGCAACGCTGCCCAGCGCCGCCTGCCGCGCGGCTCGATCCCTCTCGAGTGCCTTCGCCGACCCCGCCATGGAAAGGTCCCTCAAGGGGTTGCTGGTCCTCTGCTCCAGGCCGTCGTCGCTCACGGACTCACTCGACGAGGAGGCGTCGTCGGAGCCGTTGCCCTCGGAGCCGTCCGAGCCGTCGTCGTCCGAGCCGTCGTCGCCCTCCCCCCTGGACCTCTTCCCGAATGGACTCGCGGCCGAGGATCTTCCGAAGCCCGATTTCGCAAGCCTCGACATGATGCCCTCGAGCGGGTGAGCCATCGGCTTTACCTTCTCCAACTTCTTCGCCGGTGCCGCGTTCCTCTCCCTGCTGGCCCTGATGGTCGCCTGCATTTTCGAGCCGACCTGGTCGCCGACGAGTTCGACGTCCCCATGGTCCACCACGGTCTTGGTGGTGGTCGCCTTGTCGTCGTACTCCTCGACGTGGTGGTAGCCCTTCTTCTCCCCTGGAGCCATCATCAGGACCCCTTTGGTCTCCACTCCACCGATTATCTCAGTGCTCTGGATCTCCTCGGGGGCATTGCCGAAGTCACGCTCGTACTCCGGCAGCTCCACGAACACCAGCCTGGGCGCGGTGATCCTCGTGGGCGCGAAAATCTCATCTCCCTCCTCCGCCTCCCTCCGACCTCCCGTCAAACTCCACCTCCTCCTCCTCCTCCTCTTTCAGCCTCCCCTCGCCCACCCTTCTCGGCTGTTGTTGTTTTGTTTGTTGGTGTTGTTGTTCTGGGGCGTTTCTAACCCTGGAGTCTTGCGGCCCGACGTGTGCGTCGTCAGGAGGCTCTTGAGGTGGTTGGTGTGCTCCGCGCTCTTCAGCCTGACAGCCTGCGGATCCTTGTTGTGCAGCTGGATCCATATGCCCCTGGAATTGGTGAAGTTGTGGTGCCTGATCGCCTCCGAGAATACCCACTCCAAATATTTCGCGACCGAGTCATGCTGCAAGTCTATGCCTCTAGGACACAATCAGTTCATCCCCCCTCCCTCTCTCTTCCTCTCCCTGTCTCTCCCTCTCCCTCCTCGGGCTCTGTGTGTGCGTGTGTCTCTCTCTCTTTCTCTCTCTCTCTCTCTCTCTCTCTCTCTCTCTCTCTCTCTCTCTCTCTCTCTCTCTCTCTCTCTCTCTCTCTCTCTGAGGACTGGGGCGAGCCTGGGGTGGAGGGAGATGCGTTCAGGGGAATTGTCTAGGCGGATACACAGCTGCGCTCCGCTCCTACATCAGCTCAGGGTAGATGGGGGCGAGGTGGAGGAGAAGCGAGGGGGGTGATGGGATAATGACGGGGAGAGGGGATGCTGAGACATGAAGGCGACGAAGAGGAAACATGAGGAAGAGAGTAGGAGCGAAGAGAATGATGCGCGAAGAAGATGAGCAAGAAAAGGAGCGCCACTCGGATTCACCAGGGTGTTATTTGACGTCTGCCGCGGGAGCTGCTCAGACTCGGAGGGGAAATGAGGGCGACGAGGATGATAATGAGGAGGGGAAGTGAGGGCGACGAGGATGAATATGAGGAGGAGTCAGGAGGAAGAGGAGGCGAATGTGTTCCTCCCAAAGGGCGCCTAGGATGCTGTAGACATTGTGGCAGATCAAACAGATCTTGCCGTCCGGGTCGTGGACAACGATGAGCCCCTGCTCGGCGACGTACACCTGGCGAGGCTTGTGGTGCTTCCAGGGCAGGCACCCGTGGTTCTTGTCGTCCTTGGAAGCCTCCAAAAGCGGCGGAGAGCGAAGGGGGTAGGTAGGATATATTGAGGGGGTCTAATGATGCAAGGATGGCTTTCTGGTGGGCCACGGGCCGTGCTCAACGGCGAGTCGTCGTTGCTATAGCCGTCGCACAGCACGCAGCACTTGATCTTTCGACCAAACTTGTCTACGCCGAGGCTCCTACTGCTCTGGGACTTCGCCTTCTGGTGAGGGTCCTTGAGCCTTTTCTGCCTCTTCTTTTCGTGGGAGCCACCCATGGCGGCAGTCGGGCCTGGGGATGGGGCCCTCAAGCCTAGGGCCTAGGGCGAGGGCTAAGGGTCGACGTGCTGCAATACCTCCAGGAGTGCTCGAGCAGACGCACCGGCGACGGCGACCCCCTCCCCCTGTTCGAAGCACCCCCACAAGCTCAGATGCCGAATGGTGCGCTGGCCTGTCGCCCCCATCCGACGCTCCGGCGGAGGTGGGGAACCCCTCGACGAGCCCGACTCCCAGCTACTCCTCGGGGGGAAGGGGGGGGGCGGCGAGGTCCCCTGCGTTTTCCTTGCGGGCCCCCCATGAACATATGTGGTATACAGCATGAATATAATAGACAATATACATATTAAAAAACAATAAACACTTTTAATTTGAAATTTAAATGAATTAAAACAAAATTTATTCAAATTTAATACATATATTATTTATTAAACATTGAAATAAAACAGCAAAACATATTTTTTTTCCCCCAACCTCAGAAAATCATCCCGAATGCGGGGAAGACCCCCCAAATGCGGGGAAGCACCCCCTGCGTGCGGGGAAGCACCCCCGGCGTGCGGGGAAGGCCCCCCGTAACGAAAAATCGAAAATTTTGAATTACCCTCAGAATCAGGCCCCAAATGCGGGGAAGGTCCCCCGGATGCGGGGAAGCGCCCCCTGCGCGCGGGGAAGCGCCCCCGGCGTGCGGGGAAGGCCCCCTGGTACGAAAAGTCGAAACTGTTAAATTATCTTCGAAAAAATAAATCAAAAATGCATTTTTATTTGAAATAAATCTAATTTAAATTGTTTTATTTATAAAAAAACTATAAATACGCGTGCTTAGTTGAATATAGCATCATATATATAATATATATATATAATATATACATTAATATATATAATAATATTATATAATTTGTAAGAATACCATGTATCATAAAACTCATCAGAAACCTCGCCCTGAAAATAAACGTCCACGGTAGCAATGCCCGACATCTGTTTCTGGTCGCGCCGAAGCGGGCCCCCCATCGCGCCGCCTCGCCCGAAGAGGGGGGCTGAGCGAAGCGGGCGGACTGGAGGGGGGGTGCCCTCACCCCGACGAGAGCCCTCGGAACCCGCCGCGACGGGCAGGGGGGGCTCAGCCCTCGCCAGCGAACTCGCCGATGATCTCCGCCCAGCGAGCCTGGGGGGCCGCTGGGGGGGCGCACTAGCTGCTGGCGCAAGCGCCCCGACCCCCGGCCCCATGCCCCCCCTCCCCCCATCGGGCCCCAAGAGCCCTCGGAGCCCCCATCGAGCTCTCGCCCCCCCCCTCCCCAAGGGCCCCCAGGGCCCCCAGAAGGAGCCGAATCCGCACGCTGGGGGGGTCATCCCCGCATTCCGGGGTCGCTCCCCGCATTTCGGGGTCGATTTCCGCATTTCGGGCTCGCTGGGGGGCCTGCGGGGGCCGAGGGGCTCGGTGGGGCCCTGCGCGCCCGCGAAGGTGGGGGGGCGCAGGGGCCGCCAGAGGCCCTCAGGCGGGGGCAGGGGGCCAAAGGCCTGGGGCGCCTGCGCCATCGGCAGGGAGGGAATGGCACGAGGGAAGAATGGGCGGCAAGGCATGCCCTTGCCAAGAGCTTCTGAGGGCTTCCCTCCCGCGACCCGCAATCCCGATGGGCATCCCAAGGCCGTGCAGACACTGAAACTATATGAAGGAGGAGTATCATATACAATGAAAGCAATATTCATATACAATGATTGATGATTGCCATTTACACGAAAAGAATCCTACACAAGGAATGGCATGAACAAGGGCGATCATATAATCGCATACAATAACTTCACATAGAGAAAGTATCATATGCAAGGGCCATCGCATACGAGGATGAATCATATGCAATGAGGGCCATATTCGAACAAGATCATATACAAGGAAAGCCATTTACAGGGGACAGCATATACAAGGAATGTCATAGACAAGGACGATCATATATACAATAACTTCATCAATCGTGTACAAGAAGGATCATATAATATACAGCGAAGGCCATGTCCGAACAAGATCACATACAAGGAATGCCATTTACAGGAGACATCATAGACAAGACACCATAGACAAGGAATGTCATAGGCAAGGGCGCTCATGTATCATATGCAATACTTCATATATCATATCATATCACATATACAAAGACCACCGTATACGAGAATGATCATATATCATATAATATACAATGAACAACATATTCGAACAATATCATATACAAGGAGTGTCATTTACATGAGACATCACACACAAGGAATGTCATAGACAAGGACGAACAATAACTTCATACATAGGAAATATCGAAATATCATATACAAGGACCACCGTATACGAGTATACAATGAAGGCCAAATACAAGACCATATACAAGGAATGTCATTTACAAGAGACACTGAAACAACAATCGCTCAATGCGTATACAGGGGTAGTGGCGGCGTCATATGGTTTTGGGCGCAGCGCCCGCTCAGACCGCAATCCACCCGCCTCAGGGGCAGGGGGGGGGGGGAACAGCGGGGGTGCAAGAAGCCCGACCACCCCCTTGATTGCCATCCCCCTCCTACTCCTCCTCCGCCCCCTTACCCCTCGCCCTTCTCCTCTACCCCGACTCCCCCTTCGTCTTTCCCCGCTGGCCCCCCCTTTCAAGTCTGAGACCCCATTTGCTCTGTGTCCCTTGTGCTCCGCCGTGTTCGCCTCCCTCGAGGCGCCATTGAACCTGTCGGCGGCAAGGATCCAGTGCAAGGCAGCGCCTTGCCCGGGCAAGTTCTCCAGGTTGACCCATTTCTTGCAATTCTTGTGGCTCAGGTGGCCGCAGCGCACCTGGGGGCGGAGTAGGGCGCAAGCCGCCGCAATCGCCGCCGCCCCCCCCCCCCCGCCAGTGAGGCCGATGGGCCCCCCACCCCAGCGAGGCCGACTGGCCCCCCACCCTTGCGAGGCCGATGGGCCCCCCGCCCCAGAGAGCCCAATTCCCCCTGATCCGAACCTGGACCGAATAGACACTTCCATCGCGATTCTGATACGCGAGCTTGCCCAGGACCTGAAACTTGTCGAGATCCTCCCTGTAATGAGCAAACGTCAGAGTTTGGGCGCCCGTCATCTTCGTGGCGTACCCTGGGAACAACTCGCAGACTTCCCACCCGTCCCTGGCCGCCGCTCCGGCAATCGGGGACTCGTGCACTTCGGCCCACATGCGCCTGACCTCTTCTTCCTCAGGATCCGGAGCCCCAGGGTCGTCGTCGCTGGAGAGGCCAGAGGGGCCGGGCCGAGCGTCGTCCATCCGACGCCTGGCCCCACCGTCTCCGTCCGCGCCACCGAAGGGGGGGGCGAAGAGAAGGGGGGGGAAGAGGGAGAGAGAGAGAGAGAGAGAGAGAGAGAGAGAGAGAGAGAGAGAGAGAGAGAGAGAGATACTGACAGACACGCGGCAGACGGACAGACACACAAAAGGACATAGAGTGAGCCAGAGGGAGAGAGATATATAGAGAGAGAGAGATATAGAGGGTGGGAGATAGTATACATATATAATTATAATTTATATAGAGAGAGGGCACGGAGGCACGGAAGAAAGAGAGAGAGAGAGAGAGAAAAAAAAAAAGATAAATGGAATAACGAGCGAGGAAGAAAGAAAGGAATAACGAGAGAGATAAAGAGAAATGATGAAATGATACAGTAAGAGCGCGCGGCACGGCGCAGCACGGCACCGCGGCGAAGGAGGGGCCACGAGAACGAGAAAGAGAGAGGACGAGGTAAGATAAGGGAGGAGGAGGGGGAGAAGAGGAGGAGTGGCGAGAAAAAGGGAGATGGGGGAATGGAGGAAGTGGAGAGAGGGGAGGAGGGGGCCAGTGGAGAATGCGAGGAGGGACGGAAGTCCATTGGCCATCGAAGGCTTACTCAGGAGGCTCCCCCAATCAGCTGCGACCAGAGGCTTTCCCGGGGCAAGCCGACGAGCCAAAACTGTTCGGGGGGCCTTCGCACCGAAAAACGTGATGGGGGCTTGTTTCAGGGGCCCTTCTCACCGAGATGGGTGCTGGGTACGGTGTTCGTGACGTGGCAGGCCAACCAACTTCCCAGAGCCTCCCAGAAAGCCCCAGCCCTCCTGGATTGTATCCCAGCTACCAGATTTCAACTGCCCGGGAAGCTTCCTGGAGTTCCGAGAGCGTCCCGAGGCGTTAGACAGGAGCGGCCAAGCAGGGGGTGGAAGCGGAAAAAAGGGGAATTGGCAAACGCCGCCAGCTGCGCCCCGACCGCGGCCGCGCCCGCGGCCACGTCCACGACCCTCGCCGCCGCCGCGCCCGCGCCCGCGCCCAGGGCGCTGACGTCGCGGTCCTCGAGAGACGGCCGCGGAGATCACGGCGGAAGAAGGCGGGGGCAAGGGGAATGGCGACGACAGGGGGCGAGCACAGCAGGGCGAGAAGGGACGTGACGAGAAAGAGGGGCGGCGGAGGAGGTCGGGCGGGAAGGGGAAGGCGAAGGCGCGTTACAGGGCGGGGCCAACGAAAGGAACGAAGAAGACGCACGATCAAGACGACTCGCGATGGGGAGAGATTGCCCGGGCCAGAGATGGGGGGGGGCAATGGCGAGGAGCAGGGGGGGGGGGATGCGACGTAGAGTGCAGCTGATAGAATGATGGAACGGCGTGAGGACGAGAAGGAGGCAGAGGAGTCGGAGGAGGAGGGGGAAGGAGGAGGAGGAGGAGGAGGAGGAGGAGGAGAGGAGGAGGAGGGGAGAGCGGTGCTCGCGAAGTCCTGCCATCGGCACAACGCCATCTTTCGCAAGCTTCTCCATCACCTTGAAAGCCCTCATGGCAAGAACAGCCGTGTGCTCCCTGTCAAGCTCCTCCAAGAGGGCGTCTAAATCAAGGCGCTCCGTAGCTGTCACCACATGCGTGGCGAGGTCTTTGAGCGTGTACGTGAGAAGGTGGCACTCGACCGGGCGATGCTCGAAGATCTGGAGCAATTCATTCGCGACGTGGGACTCGGTCATCACATGCAAACATTGAAAACCAGC